CACACACCTTGAGCCGTCAGAGCGGCCATCCAATCTCCTCAACCAGCACCCGCCTCCCGTTTCGCCACAGGCCACCCCCATCTCCTCTCCCCTCGCCACAGCCACCCCCACCCCCTCGCTACAGCCACCCCAGATCTCCCCAGATCTCGCGCCTCTCGCGCCTCTAGGCGATCGCGCTCGCCCAGGAGTACGTAGCCGAGGAGGGCCTCTCCCTCTCCTTCACCGTACAGTTCCGCGACCTCGAGGCACTCTACAGCCGAGAGACTGCAGCCGAGAGACATGCCGAGAGACATGCCGCCGAGAGACATGCCGAGAGACATGCCGAGAGACCGCCCGCATCGCGGCTGCCTCGCGGCTGCATCTCGGCCGCATCTCGGCTGCATCTCGCCCCTCTCGTGCCCAGGACCCGTCTCTGCGCGGCTCGCCCGTCTCCACCTTCGTCCAGTTCATCATCGTGCGCGAGGCGTGAGGGCCAGTCGGCGGGCGGCGGCGGAGGAGGCGTGGGGCCAGCCACTAGGGGCGCCGTGTGTGCCACGACGGGGCCGGCGGCGGGCGAGAGGGAGCCCGCGGCAGGGAGCCCGCCCCCTCCCTCGGCCATTCCGACGGCCTCCTGTCTGCCCTCCAGTCTTCTCCCCGCAGCCGCCATGCTGCCGCCGCCGTCGTAGAGAGGGCCAACAGGCCTACGTTTTACAGGCGCAGAACGGCGTGGTCGCTTCGGGGCCGGGCGGACGCGGTGTGAGGGTGTGTCTGTCTCTCTTTGTCAGTGTGCGTTATCCTCACCAGTTGGGAGTTATGTATCTCGAAAGTTCCGAGAGCTGTCACGGCTGAGCTGACCCCGCTCCCGCGGCCCGTTTGGCGTTTGCGTTTCAGGCTCCCAGAGCGCAGAGGGCCTCTCGGAGCGAGGGTCCGTCAGCCCCGTCACTCGACGGCTCACGCACCTGACCACCGCCCGTCAGCCCCGTCAGCGTCACCGCCCGTCAGCCCCGTCAGCGTCACCTCACGCACCGCCACCGGCCACCGGGCCCGCAGCAGCGGATAGAGCCGAGCCGTACACGGTCGTGCTCGTGGAGAGCCGGGGGACAAGCTCCATCGGCAGCTGCGCCTTTCGCAGCTGCGCCTCCCTCGCCTGCGTCACCGTGCCAACCACCGCCACCGTCCGCCCACCGCCTTCGAATCCACAACCACCGTCCTCCGCGTCCCGCCCAAGAGGATGCGCGACCTGCAGCGCTGGTACGAGGCGGTGGACGGGGCTCTGGCCTACAAGCGCTGCCGCCCCCTCCTCTACGGCTGGCTGGAGAAGGCCCAGATCGAGCTCGGCTCTTACGGCCCGGACGGCGCGGCGCGCCAGCGCGACCGCGACGAGTTCGAGGGCGACTTTGCGTCGGCGACTGCTCGCGGTCCAGACTGACATCAGGCGTGCAAGGTGTGCTCTTTTCCTATTCAAACGACAGACATCTCCCGCATACCACTCACCCTGCGATGCGCTTCGCTGAGACCTCGAGAGAGTGGTGCCGAAGGCGCTGTCCCCCGTATTCCCCCGTATTCCACTTTGGCGGCCGTCCACCAGGCAGCCATTTCCTCGTCCGCTCGCGCTTGCCGCGCCGCATTTCGCCCAACTATGCCGCATAGTCGGGCATAGCAATAGGCATAGCTGCACGTCTAGACCCCCGCGACGCCTATTGCTCACGGAACCCGCCGCCCCCTCACCACCCCCACCACGCGATGCGCCGCGCCGCGCGAGCTGCTGTACCCCCCATCTGCCTCGCAACGCCTGCCCACTCCCGCTCGCAGGTACAGCCGCTGCCATCGAGGAAGCCGCGAGACGCGTCCGCTGCTGCCCATTCCCCACCCTTGTCCCGCGCGACCGCCCTCCCTCTCTTCTGGCAAGAGAGCGACCCTCTCTCGCTTGCTCGCCAATCGCCGCCCGGCTCCAGTCCGAGCGCCGAGGACGCGAGAGAGCGTGCCGGCGGCCTCGTCTCGACGCTCACGCCGCAACGTGATGCCCGTAGGCGCGGCTCTCCTCTCTCCGGCCCGCTCTCTCTTCCCATTCAGCATGCACTCGACTAGCAGCAGCAGCAGCAAGACCGCACGCAGCAGCGCTCGGAGGAAGGGCCCGGCGGCGCTTGGCAGCAGCAGCACCTGCCCGCCGAGCGAGGTCACGGGGAGATGTGGGGAGATGTGGGGAGATGTGGGGAGATGTGGGGAGATGTGGGGAGATATGCGGCACCTGCCGGCCGAGCGAGGCGCGCCGGCGGGTGGAGGGGGAAGGGGTAGATGCGGCGGAAGCGAGGGAGGGGGTGGTGGCGGAGGCGCGCAGGCGGGGGAGAGGAGGTGCGCAGGGTGGGGTGGGGTGGGGTGGGGGGGGGGGGGCAGCCTGAATGCCGAGCGCAAAGCGCGCAGCGCCGCCATCTCGCGTGCACACGCCCTGGCGGCGTCGCTCACTGCGCGGTGCAGCGCCTCTGCAAAAGCGCCCCGCCCCCGCCCCCGCCCCCGCCCTCGCCCTCGCCCTCGCCCTCGCCATCGGTCGGGAGGGGCTCGCCGAGGAGCGCCTCGAAGACGCGCGCCTCGAGCAGGTGCTCCGTCTGTTCACAGCGAGCCGGCGCGTGAAGAGACGCCGTCCACACACCGCCCTCGCCCCCTTCGACCGGGCCGCTGGCGCCGTGCGGAGGAGCGGCAGCGCCAGCCTCGCCTCCCTCCGGTGCTGCCGCAGCAGCAGCAGCAGGTCGGAGGCGACACACTGAAGGTGGCGGCGAGGCGCCTGCAGGGGAGGGATCGTCCAGGACACGTCTAAGAAACGGACCGGGACGGCTCCCTAGAAAGAAAAAATCCAGGATTTCATGGGAAAAATCTGGGATTTCCAGAGAACCTGTACCCCATGTTCCCCCGACGGCGTTTGCCTGACTGACATCACACCAGGCAAGCCATGGCACTTCCTCGTCCGCTCGCACTTGCCGCGCCGCATTGCGCCCGACTATGCCGCCGCGAGCAGCACGCCTAGACCCCCGCGACGCCTATTGCTCACGGAACCCGCCGCCCCCTCACCACCCCCACCACGCGATGCGACCTCTCTCGCAGCGCGAGCGGCTGTACCCCCCTCGGCCTCGCACCGCCTGCCTACTCCCGCTCGCAGGTACAGCCGCTGCCATCGAGGAAGCCGCGAGACGCGTCCGCTGCTGCCCATTCCCCACCCTTGTCCCGCGCGACCGCCCTCCCTCTCTTCTGGCAAGAGAGCGACCCGCTCTCGCTTGCTCGCGAATCGCCGCCCGGCTCCAGTCCGAGCGCCGAGGACGCGAGAGAGCGCGCCGGCGGCCTCGTCTCGACGCTCACGCCGCCGACGTACTGCCCGTAGGCGCGGCTCTCCTCTCTCGCTCTCTCTTCCCGGTCAGCTGCATTCATTTTTTGGTGTTTGTGCAGCCGCCGTGGCTGATTTCTTTTTATCCGTGTAGGCGAGGGTCGAGGGCATGGGGCGGGTTGGGGGGGGGGGGGGGGGGGCTCCCGGGCTTGGGGGGTGGGTGGCGGGCGGGCTCGAGATCGCGTTTCGAGGGGAGATTCCCCGAGATTTTATCATAGCCATATACCCCCATGTACCCCCATATACCCCCATATACCCCCATATACCCCAATATACCCCCCAGACATCTTAAGAGCAGTTTTTCACCCTCTTTCACATGGTCGCGATCCCGTAGGCGCTTGCCTTTCCTGCTACGAGCCGAGATTGACCTGAGATTGACCCTGCCGAGTCAAGTTCCCGCCCTGCTCGCATCTCTGCTGCGTCTAGAGAGTGCCACTCTGTGTCCGTAGCCGCGAGGGCCACTCGAGAGCGCTGGCCTGCACCTCCCATCGGGGACACCACCCTCAACCGCTTCTTGACTCTCTGCAGGAATTCATTCGATCAACATGCTCAAAGTCGAGCTCGTGCCGGCCGCCGGTGACAAGCTCAAGCTCTCTCCTGCTCCGCCGCCGCTCGCTGACAAGCAGGTGTGTGCGTTAATTTGCAGTGGCTGAGGGCGGGGGTATATGCACAGTCACGCGCACCGCTGCAACGCACGCAACGCTGCGCCTTCCCTGCAAGACTAGCCTCTCGCGTTCTGTGGCTGACAGGCGTCTCTGGCGGACAACACGACCGTCATCGACTCCGGCGAAGGCAACGCCATCGGCATCCCCTCCGAGCCCGTCTCGCTCAAGGATGTCATCGACACCGGCACCGGCGGCACCGGCACCGCCAGCACCGGCACCGGCAACGTCCCGCCCGAGGGCGAGCCCGGCCCGCTCAAGGACGGCATTGACGCGGGCGGCGGCAACGTCGAGGGCGAGCTTTCGCCGATGACGTCCTCCGCGAAGGTCGGAATCGTGCCGGCTGACGACGGCCGCATCACGCTCGTCATCTCCGCGTCGGTGTCGCCTTCGCTCCTCGGAGCCAAGGTGCGCGTGCGCACGCCAGGATCGTGATCATCCCTCTCCCGTCTCCGAGAGCCTGCGCGTACTCTCCCTCGCCCACAGGCGTGCGGCGTCAAGAACGTCAACATCTCCGTGGCAAAGTCTGGCCCGGAGGACGTTCTCAAGAAGGACCCGGCCGCGGAAAAGGCGCCCGACGCGGGCGCGGTCGACTCGGACAAGGCCAAGGCCATGTTCGCCGCCCACGCGCCGAGCTCGCCCGCCGTTTTCTGGTCCAAGTTTACGCGCCCAACCGGCCCACCGACGGCCCCCACCGGCGCCGTCGAGGGCGCCGTCGAGGGCGCCTTCAAGAAGGACATCCCTGCGGCAGAGTCTGGCGCGGAGGCCTCCTTTGACGAGACCGGCGCCATCAAGAACGACCCGGCGCTCAAGCCGGCCACCGAGGTCGCCACGGCCCTCAAGCCGGCGGCGGTTTGCGGCGAGACGCTGCCGTCGATCAAGGAATTTCCGGAGCCCGCCCCGGCGGCGAGCGCCTTGCTTCTGCGCCGTGCGCCCGCCGACCCACTCCTTTACCCCACCCCGCTTTCCATTGCGTAGGGCGACGTCGGCTGGACCGTCTCGGCCAAGGAGTTTCCAAAGGAGAAGCCCGCCCCGTCGGCGAGCGCCGCATTCTGTGCCGTGCGTCTGCGGACCCACTGACTGACCCCATGCGCGTTCGATGCGTAGGGCGAGCCCGACTGGATTGTCTCGAACTCGCGCAACAAGACGGAGCGCAAGGGCGAGGTCAAGTCCACGAAGGTCTCCAACAAGTACGATCTGCTCGACGACGTCGAGACGAACGTCAAGGCGGAGATTGACGAGGACGAGGACGAGAAGACTGGAAAGGAGAAGGGCGCGGAGAAGGAGTCCTCGGTGCACGCACTCCCACACAGACGACACACACTGCCCCGCGCCTTTGCTTGACAGCGCGCCGCGCGCGCGCCGCAGTTCGAGTCGGTCTCGCCCGAGTCTGTCGGTGGCATTGGCAAGCCGCCCCGCGGCTTCACGCCGTCGACCACAGACTCGGTGCTCGCCGCCTGCATACGCCGGATTCTCCTTTGCCCCTAGCTCACCGCCAGTCTGACGACCACGCCCCCTGTTCAGGGCGCGACGGCCAACCCCAAGACGACCACGACCGCCACGCCGAAGGGCTCCGTCTCCGCCTCCGGCTGGCTCTCGTGGCCCAAGCTCTGCTGGCACAACGTGCTCTGCACCGCCTTCATCTGCCTCATTGCGGCGAGCGCGAGCGGCGCGGCTTTCGCCTACTTGTCGCACGGCTCTGACGGGTTTCTCCCTTCGTCGATTGTTGTGCCCGACGCGACGGCGCTCCCGACCGAGACTGAGCGCCGGCCGCTGTTTGCTCCGAAGGCGCGCGAGCCGTGTGACGCCGGTTTCGTCCCGACGTGCGAGCAAGCGAAAGGTTTTGGCCTCTGCAACACCACCAACGCAGCGTGCGACGAGGCGTGCGTCGACGAAGTCAAGATGACCTGCCCTGTGACGTGCAGCCTGCCGGCGGAGGCGACGTCCGGGCACCTGGCCCCGGACGCCGCCCCTTCCGACTACGGCGATAGCTTGCCGCCGGCCGCAACGGAGGCCATCTGCAGCACCTGCGCGGTTCACCCCGACCTGCCCTGCTGCCACAACCACCCGCACGAGGGCAATGGCCGCCGCCGCCTGGCGCAATCGTGCGCCGGAGCATTGCCGCCCACGGTCAATTATCTCTTAACATCATTCAATCCCGACGGCGACGATGCAACTTTTATGAAAATTCTGGCCCCGATCTTCCATTCTAAACAATTCCTTCCATATCCGGCGGAAGATGGAAAGTGCGAGTTTGTCACGAGCGATAACTTGCAGACCTTTGCTCAAAGCATCGCTGCATCCATGAGCATTGATGGTTCATACGGGGCCTTCGCAGCGTCAGTAAAGGCAAGCACTGAACAAACGTCCCGTTCAGACAAGAGACAGATTCGAATCGACAACGTGTGCACGGCCATCTCCCAGATATGGAATCCGAAGGACGTATGGAGCCACTCGGACATGTTAGACAGCGTAAAAGACGCCTTCATGACAAAAACCCCAGCGGAGTTTGCGAAAGACTACGGCGCGTTCTATGCGAAACAGATCACGCTTGGGGCAATGATTCGGTACCGTTTCGTGAAGGTCAGTGATGCAACTGAGACCTCGTCCGAATTCGAACTTGAGCTTACGGCAAGCGGGAATAATCTATTTGCTGAGGTGGCAGCGTCAGCCGGAGTTTCCGGCAAGTATTCAACAAAGGTTGGGAACGATGAGACAACGATCTCCATGAACATCAAAGGTGGTGTCACAGCAAAGATACTCGGGACCACCGCAGACACTTACCAGGAAGATGTGAAAGCATGGAGAGACAGCGTCGATGAATCGAATTTGCATCCCATGGGATTCAGGCTTGGACTCCTCACAGACTTGCTGAAGAAAATTGATTCAACCCGGGCAACTGCACTGGCCAATCACTACAAGAGCATTTGGGGCAAATCTTTGACAGAACTGCAAAGGATGGATGACAGAACTCCCGGTTGGCCTTCCCCGGAGTGGTCCCGGACCCCCCCGGACCCCCCCGGGACGTTTAGTGACGAGCAGGGCTGGTCGGACGGGGCTCCAAACTACCACGACGGCTCCGCACACTTGGGTGCCATCACCGGAATGAGCTGTGCAGGGGATATGTGCGACAATTTGAAGCTCCTGAGATTTCCATTTGTCCAAACTGACACATGTGACGTGAACTTGGGCCCCTTCTCGGAAGAACAACAGAATTTCCGCAAGTGTGATCGGGACTATATCGTGACGGCGGTAAAGTGCGAAGGCGATTACTGCGACAATCTGACATTGCGCTGCAACAAACTCCTAAGCCCAGGCAGGTGGATTGGAACCGAATATATGACGGAGCAGTTCAGCGAGGAGGAAGGAGAAATGAAATGCCGAGTTGATGAGAGCGCGCTGGTCGGGGTCAAGTGCTACGGCGACTACTGCGACAATAAGGAATTGATCTGCGTGAAGATCTCTAACATTACTTGGCAGCAAGACTCAGAGGAAGCAAAGGACGGGGCTTTTGTGTGTCCGCCATCGCCATCGCCGCCTCCGCCATCGCCGCCTCCGCCGCCTCCGCCTCCGCCATCACCGCCTCCGGGCAGTTGCACTGCGGCATCGGACTGTGCAAGCGGAATGTGCTTCTGGGATGACAACCGGAACGGCTGGTATTGCTGGTCGAAGCACCCACGCGGCACTTGCTGCCGCTGGGTCTTGGACCCTAACCACGTGTGGTCGTGCCAGTACTGCGCCAACGGCAACCAGTGGTCCCTTGTTGGCGGCGAAGGCGAAGGCGCCAACGTCGTCAAATACGACATGCGGTACTGCGGGTCGTCGCGCGTGTGCAACTAAAAGTGGTTGCTTGGCGCGCGGCTACAATTTGGTAACCCAATTCCCAGCCGTTCGAAGCTCTACCACGAACTTCGAGCCGTTCTTAAACTTTGGATATTGGCAATGCCACAAGAGACAAGGGTTGGGCGTGCTCCTCACTCCCTTCGTTGCGTTCCTTTGGCACGGGCGCTTCATGTAACATGCTGAGGCTTGCTCCGCCTCCGAGGAGCCTTACAGACCGTAATTAATCACAGGCCTTCTCCGCCTGCCGAGACGTCGGATAGGCATCACCACAGTCCAATGCACGAGGGCGTCTCTGTTCCTCTTCTCTTTTTCGGCCCCTTAAATCGGTCATTTTCCTCGGCCTTTTCCTCGGCGATTCCTTGTCGGTGGCCTTCTCCTCGGCCCCGATTCCTTGTTCACGGTGCTCTGATTCTTGTGCTGATACTTGCGTCCGAGACTGCTTGTGTTAGTCCTCTGGGTCTTCTTTTGTCCTCGGCGTCCTGTCTCGATGCGAGTTGTTCCCCTTTGGTTTGGACCTCTTGTATCCCCTTTTAGTACAGCAGTGGCGGTCCGCTCATCGCGCGCCTTGCTTTTCATTGGTCGTGAAATTCTCTTGCCGACGTTCAGCTACAGCTTGCGCTGCTGTTCGAGTCGTTCGGTGGGTTCGGGAAGGGGGTCGGCGAGATCCGAGATCCCCTGCGGCGAACGTGTGCTGCAGAACAAGCTAGCGTGGGCCCAGTACCTCGACGTACGTGTGAGTGAGTGAGTGACAGAGTGAGTATTCTTGATACGAAACCACGACGACACACACCAGTCGACTCGCATCGGTTGCCTCCATGAACGGCGGAGCTATTCTCGCGTCCGCACCACACCTGGCTCCAACGTGGACACGCCCATAGCTGGGGACACTACTAGGTCACGCACACACAAACACACACACACACACACACACACACACACACACACACACACACACACACACACACACACACACACACACACACACACACACACACACACACACACACACCTCGACGTACGACGAGGTGACTTGGTTGGACCACCAAGAATTGGCTAGGGCTGTATATCGCACGCCTTGGGGGGGGGGGGGGGGAGAGGAACCTCTTAGCGCCATCGCCATGGTGCTGCTTGCTGCAGAAGCAGCGTATCTTCTCGGTCGTTCTTCACACGGCAATCGAAGAGCAGATTAGATTCCTCGCCGACTTCGACCACCACCTTGCCGACGCTCGCGCCGCTGTTGAGGTACTCGAGCGCCTCGGGCAGCTGCTCAAACGGGTAGGTGGAACCTGGTCAGGTACTGCCATGCAACCCAAGCTGAGGGATCGCAAGACGCATGCGGCAGGAATGCGGTCGGCGCGTGGACATACTGCAAGAAGGGCCAGATTTGTGTCAAGCACGGAGAGTTTGGAGCGCACAGCGAGTGCCACGACCTCTTCAATAGCGAGCGCACCTGTGGCTGGGGCAGGCCTATGTGCACTGGAGAAGGCGACACCAGCGTGTGCTGGGAGCGAAAGGAGGGCGGCTGCGTGGAACGCGGAGCAGCTGGAATGGCCGACTACCAATGGTTCCAGCACGGGTTCCGCTGTGGGTACAACAAGCAGTTCTACTTTCAGCGCCAGGACCGCATTGGCGGCTGGCCCAAGATCTCGTCGGACGACGGGATCTCCCGTACCATGGAGGAGTGGAAATCTGCTTGCAACGAGTGCCTGCTCAGCATGCTGGACAACTGCCTGGTTTGCCCGCTCAACCCGAAGCTCTTCTGCTCCAATACCTCCGAAGGGGTCTACCTTGGCGGCACCGGCACCCGCCCCGGGACACACTCGTGCAACCGCGGCGACAACCTGGAGACCGTCGCCGACAATGGCGCGCGGCTACAATTTTTGGTAACCCAATTCCCAGCCGTTCGAAGCTCTACCACGAACTTTGAGCCGTTCTTAAACTTTGGATATTGGCAATGCCACAAGAGACAAGGGTTGGGCGTGCGTGCTCCTCACTCCCTTCGTTGCGTTCCTTTGGCACGGGCGCTTCATGTAACATGCTGAGGCTTGCTCCGCCTCCGAGGAGCCTACAGACCGTAATCACAGGCCTTCTCCGCCTGCCGAGACGTCGGATAAGCATCACAGTCCAATGCACGAGGGCGTCTCTTTCCCTCTTCTCTTTTCCGGCCCCTTTTCCGGTCCCTTTCCCTCGGCCTTTTCCTCGGCCCCGTTTCCTTGTCGGTGGAGACTTGTTCACGGTGCTCTGATTCTTCTGCTGATTGATACTTGCGTCCGAGACTGCTTGTGTTAGTCCTCTGGGTCTTCTTTTGTGGTGAGCCGGTGTGTGCCAGTCCGGCGGCACAATGCTGGGCGAGCGAGCGCAGGTCGTAGAGCGCCCGCCAACCTCGCCGATGTCTCGCGCTCGCGCGAAGCTGCTGGCCTGCCTCATTGGCGGGTCCGACAAGAAGCGCTGGTTCCTCTGCGGGTACTGGCCAACTCTCGGCGAGACTTTTCCCGAGCGGAGCGAAGTTATGCCGAATTTATTGGGCGGCCTGGTGGGCGGTTTGAACTGCATCCTATGCCTGGCGGTCATGGCAAGCATTTACTTTTCTCCCTTCAACTTCGTCAGCGGAGAGGCTGCCTCAGAGGCCACGAGCCTGGGAATGACGATGCTCTTATTCACGTCTTCCATCTCGATTGTCGTCTCGGCGCTCTTCGGACGACTCCAATACGCGATCGTGGCGTCGCAGGACGTGCCGGCAGTCCTGCTCGCGCTCACGGTGCCTCGCATCATCGCATCCTGAGGTGCCTCATCGCATTGCTCACGCTCATCGCATCATCGCATCATCATCATCAAGGCGCGCAAGGCGCTCCTCAGTACGCCTCGAACCTGCCTCACCTCTTCACCTCTCCCAGCTTAGGCCTTGGTGTTCGAGGCCGAGATGCATGTATTCCACGCCATCTCGTGGGCCGCCTTCTCTTTACCGGCTGCTTCTTCAACTTCGCCGGTCGAATGAAGCTGGGCACGCTCGTCGCCTCCCGTCATCTCTGGGTTGCTCGCCTCCATCGGCCTCCTCGCCATCCGCGGCGGCCTGGCGGACGCCAGCCGCGTGCTGCCTTTCAGTACCTCTGGCCCATCCATTGCGTGCCGGGCTTCTTCTCGCCGTGCGCCGCGGTCACTCCGCCGTAGCTGTGGAGGGCGTCTACTCACTCTCAGACTGAGAACAGGTACTGCGTCGGCAGGCAGCACGGTAGACGGTAGACGGGCCACCCCTCAGTCCCTGCGTCGCGCCTCCGCCTCTAGACACTCCCTAAAGGTGGCCGCGACGCGTCGCAGCCGCCTGGCCCTTTCCATGTCGCTCCTCATCGCCTCTGCGGTGCCCATCTCGTCGTGCCGCACCCACGAGAGTCTAAAGTAGAGAGGGCCAACACGGCCTATACGCGTTTTACAGGCGCAGAACGGCGTGGTCGCTTCGGGGCCGGGCGGACGCGGTGTGAGGGTGTGTCTGTCTCTCTTTGTCAGTGTGCGTTATCCTCACCAGTTGGGAGTTATGTATCTCGAAAGTTCCGAGAGCTGTCACGGCTGAGCTGACCCCGCTCCCCGCGGCCCGTTTGGCGTTTGCGTTTCAGGCTCCCAGAGCGCAGAGGGCCTCTCGGAGCGAGGGTCCGTCAGCCCCGTCACTCGACGGCTCACGCACCTGACCACCGCCCGTCAGCCCCGTCAGCGTCACCGCCCGTCAGCCCCGTCAGCGTCACCTCACGCACCGCCACCGGCCACCGGGCCCGCAGCGGATAGAGCCGAGCCGTACACGGTCGTGCTCGTGGAGAGCCGGGGGACAAGCGCGACGAGCCCGCGCGCCGCCCGCCGCCAAACATATCGGCAAACGCAGCAGCGAGCAGGACCGCGACTTACTCTAGGTCTACAAGTGACTAGTGACAGGTGCCCCCGCCGCCGCACCGCTCTCGCCACCCGCATGCCCGCCACCCACGTCCGCACGCACGCTGCCGCCGCCTCGCAGCCACCCCGTCCGCCCCGCAGCGCTCCCTTCGATGGCGGCACACCGGCACCTCCTCGTCGGCGACTACTGCTGAATCGGAACCTGGCTCAGTCTGCCTTGCGCGTCCTCCTTTGCTTGGCTCCTCTGGCGGCGGTGGCGGCGGCGGCCGCCGGCCCGCCGCCACCGCCGCTGCTCTCGCTCCGTCGGCCGTGCACGAAGATGCCGGCGCCTACGAGCGTCAAGCCGTCTCGGGCCAACCGCCAGCAGACGGAGAGGGGCGAGGGGTGCGCGGCACTCGATACGGCTAGAGAAGGGCGTTGCAGTGCGCAGCAAGAAAAGGAAGGGTCGGGCAGATAAGGCCAACGGGAGCGCTCACCCATCATGCCGAACCACACGGCGGTGCAGGCAGCGTAGAGGCCCGTCTGAGAGCAGGTCGAGAGGCAGGCAGTGAGAAGTACGCGGCGGTGGTGCAAGAGAGCGTTGGCGGCGGCGGCGGCGGCTACTCTGGTGCCTGCTGCTTCTGCGGCACTGTTTGAAGCCACTTGTCGAGGCCGAGAGCGGAGTCGTAGGTATCGCGTAGGGACAGCAGGTCGTAGTACACCACGCACACACACAACGCCGCCACAGCGAGGCTCATCGCAGCAACACCCACCAAAGTGTAGCTCACCATGCTGAACGCAGGGGGCCAGGTACAGAGTGTCGCCCCCGGGGAGCCCCCCCCGCGGGCCCTCGATCGAGACCTCGAGAGACGCCTGTGTTTCGCCTTCCTATCTATCCGGAGGACGTCGGCCCCGGGCTAGCGAGGCGCTTTCATCGGCCTCGGCAACACCGAGCCCGGCACGAGCGCGGACGTCTTCGGCCTCGAGCAGCGCGGCGCTGTCGGGGACGGTGACTTCAGGCTGCCGAGCGACGGCGGCGGCTACGTGGCGTACAAGAAGGCGGACTACGCGCACGCCCTCTCGCGCTCGGTGACACGGACGTACAGATGTACCTGTTTGAAACCTTTGGCGGGTGGTGCAACGCGGTCAAGCGGCTGTTCTACCAGATGAAGGACAAGGTGCGCAACAAGCTCTCGACGCGGCAGCACGAGGACGAGGCGAGCTGGTCGACGCGGTCGTGGCTGTCGCTGCAAGCCCAGCGCATGGTCAGTCGCGCTGCAGCTCGCGGCGGCGGATGAAATTGCGACCGAGCTCAGGCTCGCTGCGTGCGGCGTTGGAGGACGCCACCGTCGGTCGCCTAGACTCCCTTGCGTCACCACGTGCCTCCCCGTGTTTGTAGCCTGGCGTTTGTGCCCCGTTTGTGCCGCGTCCCGTGCCCCCGAGTTCATTTTAATAAGCAGAGTGAGAAAGAGAAGGACAAAAAAGGTAAAAAGCGCTTTGTGTGAAAAAACGATTACCTCACTCAGGTAGGTAGGGTAGGTCCGAACGTTCGATTCGCCCCGTCCGTAACGTCTAACCGCCCGCCGCGCATAACTGACTCCTCATCAGGACATCACCTCCCTGCTAACATACATAGGTAGAAAGGTGAAGAACAGCCAGGCTACCTCACGAAAACAAACTCAAAAAGAAAGAAAGAAAACGGAAAGCCAAGGGAGGCAAACTACGTGCCTCCCCGTCTTTGTAGCCTGGCGTTTGTGCCCCGTTTGTTTGTGCCGCGTCCCGTGCCCCCGAGTTCATTTTATATAAAGGCAAACTCTGTCAGCAGTCCGCTTGGTCGGAGTTTCTTTCACTGCAAATTCTTTCACCTGTGTCGAGCCTGTCTGCTGTGAGAGAGAGTTCTTTTGTTTAAATTCTTTCACTGAAAAAACGCGGGTCCGGCCGTTTCATTCCCTCCCCCGCTCGGCCCGGCGTGGCGCTGCCTCGTCCACACAAGTCACGGTTGTGTGTACATGTCCCTCGCCGCAGCAGCGGCCTCCACAGCCCAAGGCCTCTTCGAGCCCACGGACGGCGCACCAACGCCGCGGCTGCCGCTCGACAAGTCGGCTCCACCCACCCACCGGCACGGTGCTCCCGCGGGCGACGGCACCGCCAGGGTTGCTTCCGCAAACAGCAGAAAGCCTAGCACAACCCGGAGGCGCCTCATCTCAAGGCGTGGCGCGACCCACTTGCCCTGGCGTCGCTAAGTGGATATTGGATCCCTCCTGGTGGAGAGCCCGGCCCCTGCCCCCTGACTTCATGCGCACAGAGCTTCTCGTGCCATCACCTCCTGAGGCATTCTATCACCGTGCCTGGCGTAGGCACACTCCCCGAAGCATCCCAAAGAACCGGCACTATTACGGGTTCAACCCCTCGGGGTACCGCACGTCCCTCGACCATCGAGGCGCCAGGGATAGCACTGCCACAACCACGCCTCCTCAACCGGCGCCCTGTAGGCTTGAGGCCGCCTCTCCTGCCCCTCCCAGGCGCCAACTTTGGATCTGAGGGTCGCTGGCCAGGGCTCCACCAGGCGCCCGCCTCACGGAAGCACCTCGTGCTGCGCAGTCCCCATCGAGCGCCTCAGCTGCCCGAGGAGCTCTGGGCCGACTTCCCTCGCCCGGCGGCAGGACCAGGTGACACTAGTTACATGGACAGGAAGCTCGCCGACCCCCAACACACATGACTCGTGTCCCAGGTGAGGAGTGGATCCTACAGCGGAGGCGGCGCGAGGAGGAGGAAGGGGCGCTGTCGTTGCAGCGGGCGATCTTGAGGCAGTGCCACCAAAAAATAGCCTTCGAGGAGAGGAGGAGGCGAAACGGTGCCTTCATCGAGCGCACCCTTTCCTGGGAGCGACCAGCGCCGCGGAGGAAGCCCGAGGGGCTGCAATTCTGCTCGGGGGTGAGTATGAAATAAACAGAGGCGTCGGGTCTGCGCGACGACTTCACGGCGGCGGCGCGGGACGCCGTGTGAGGTTAGGCCGGTCGCCCCGCCCCCCCCCCCCCCTTCTGGGACGCTCCTGAGTCGTTTCGCAGCTAAACTAAGAATGATAGCCGTGAGAGCCAGCCTCGTTGCAAGGACCGCAAGGGCCCGTCGCCATGTGAGCGGTACCTCCCATATGGGCTCTCCGCCCCCCGTGTAGCTCCCCGTGCGTGCGTGCGTGGGTGGCCCGGCTGCCCGGTGTGTGTGTATCCCTCAGGCGGCGGTGCTCGTGTCCATTACGTCGAACCCCGCGTCCTGATCCGTCGCTCGAGTCGCATGATTCGACCCGGCTCGGCGCCCAAAAGATGAGCACGACAGTGCAGCGCGGGGGGCCCGAGCAGCCGCCGGCGGAGCACCTTCGAGGGCAAGACCATCCACCGCGGCGGGCCTCACTACATGTGAGCGCTCGGGCTCGCGACGATGGTATGCTGTTGGCAAATCAGGACACAGATCTCACACAAATATCCCTCCCTTCGTTTGTCTTTTCTCTCTTTTCCCAAAGGGTAGGTAGGTAGGTAGGTAGAAAGGTGAAGAACAGCCAGGCTCGGACTGGACACCAACGCGGTATGGGTGGACGCTGGACAGATGATGACGACACGCACGAGCGACACACAGACACAAACAGGCTCACAAGACACATAGCCAGCTGGCTGCCACACACCCTGAGTCGGCGTACACATAACTCAGGGCCACATCCTCCCTGTCGCCCGCCCCAAAGGGTGAAAAAGCGAGAAACACAGACTTGCGCGAAAAGCCGCTCTGGAGACCTCCTTTGCAATCGCTTTCACGCGCCGACTTCTCGGGCTTTCCGCGCTGCAGCTGTAGACGGCGCCGCCGCAGCTCAGCTGCCAGCAGTCGTCGGCATGGCTCCTGAGACGCTGCCAACCTGGGCCGCGCCGGAGCTCCCAACCAAAGTTGGCGACGCCGGCGAGCGGCAGACTGTCAGGGCGTTCAGCCCTCAGAAGATGCTGACTGGCGGCCAAGTCGCCGTTTCTCTCGCCGTGTTCGTTCTCTCTTTTGTGTCCTTCATCAATGTCTTCAACATCTTCGACCTCGTCACCTTCTTCGCGATCGTCTACCTGCTGCTTCTCTCAGCTCTGCTGATCGCCGCCGCCATATTCCGCTTCAGCTTCCTGAGTAAATACTTCGGCTTCCTGAGCTGCTATGCGGGATGCGGCGTGCTAATGGTCGTGGTGGGTACAAACTCGCTCGGCATATACGAGATCTGGGGCCAGATCGTCGGCGGTATCTCCATTGCATGGGGTTTGCTCGAGATTGTCGCGCACTGCCTCTACTATCGGGGCGGGTTGATCACGCTGATGGACTAAATTCGTGTGCGGTCGGGAGTATGAGATACTGGCGTCTAACGATGAGAGGCTGCGCTTGTGCGGCTCGTCACATGACAGTACTCTCCTCGCCTTGCTTGCCTTCTCGCACCGCGTCGCGTGCGCCGGGGCCGGCGTCGTTGTTGCACGAGTATATGGGCCACGATGTCTCAAATATGAGGGGTTTTGACTCCTACCGGCTCCTGACGCTATCCCTGGCAGCTCTAATGGCCAGGGTCAGTAGTGTTGTGATAGATGGTGCCCATACTAGCGCAGGAGCTGCCACACTCGCCCGGACCGTCCCCTTCTGGGGCCGGTTCCGCAGCCCGCGAGAGCCGACAGCGGGGCCGTGCCGCAGGTGCCTACTGCCGAGTGCCACAAACACTGCACCGTCCCGCCATCACCTACAGGCTGTCTTGTGGGATGGTTGGGATGTCCAAACGCCACCATCTTGGCTCTTGCGACCTCAAACCCTCGAGCTGTATGGGTGGTCCTGACGTCGACAGACGCCCGAGGACCATGGTGAAGCTGAGCCGGAACGCGTCGACAGGTCTCGCCTGAGCCCGTGGCGGTCGCCGGCTGAGTCGCCGTGCACGAGCCGGTACCTCAGGCGTCACCTCCGCAGCCTCAGGTCTCACACTCCATCACCTCCGACGGGACACCTTCGGTGGCACGCATGCGGCGAGTTTGTTGCAGCCCCACAGCGAGCACGGCGTCGAGCCCAATCGGTCTGGTCGGTTCGCGGCACTCACTGGGTGCCAGGGAGTGCCGCCGACACGCGAGCGGTGCTTCCTGGCAGCGCGCGCCGGCTGTGGGGACCCGCTTTTTGGGACATTTTCGACGCTTTTGGCCCATATACTCGTGCAACAACCCTCGCCGTGGCGTCTCGCGCGTCCGCACAAGAGTGCCTAGTGATCTGCGCAATGGAGGCCGGAGCGACCGGTCTCGAACAGTGTTCGTCCCTCTCGTATCCTTTCGAAACGACGGTTGTCTCAGCCCACAGGAGACACCGACCGCTCGCACTCAGACTCGCACACACACGCTTGTGATAATATTGCTCCGTTGGCGTTGCGCGACCGGAGACGAGCACAGGTAAATAAATTAATAAAACGGACACCTGAGGTGGGCAAAAAGGAACAGGTCCCCGCCCGTGCGGTCTTTTTGCGGGGATTTCTTCGTGGGTGTGGTCGGCGACTAGAGCCGACGGACCCCGGCACACAGCAGAGGTTAAGCGTTCACATGTTCCCGAGGCGTTTGCGCCCTGAGGCGCAATAAAGAAAGAAATAACCCGGTCACACCTCAGTCTACGCTACGCGCCTACGGCTACAGGGAGCGCATATGGTGTAGTCCGTAGTCCTGTAGAGGAGCAGGTGCCCCCCCCCCCCCCCCCCCCACGCGATATACAGGAAGTCTGGAGGCCGTCGTTTGTCACGCGGGGAGCCAGGGGGGCGGGGAGGGTGTTTCTGCTTGCGGGGCAGGACGGGCCTAGGTGCGATCCGCCGGCGGTCGTGCACCGCATATGACAAAAGACGGCTCGGGCTCTGGCAGG